CCCCAAAACCCCAAAACCCCAAAACCCCAAAACCCCAAAACCCCATCCAAAATTTCCAAATTAAGCACATAAATTTCATTAAATTTAATAAAAGACCCAAATAAAGTCACTTTTTACTCTAGAAAGTTAGATTCCAATGGGAGATACAGAGATGTATGAGGTCAGGAATAGTGAGGTCTGTACGGCATGAGGATGATTTGTGGATAGGGCTATTCAGATGTGGGTGAGGGGGAGGACGATGTGTGTTAAGTGTGTGGGAAGTGGAGAGATTTAGTGAGAGATTGGGGGGAGGAGAGTATCAGGTGAAGAATAAGCTCGATTTTGGGATATTTGAACCCTCTTGGACCGCTGCGGATGAGATAAAGTTGTTAGAGGCTGTTGCTAAGTCGGGGATTGATAACTGGTTTGAAGCTCATATGAAGTATCTGCCGCATAAATCACCTGAGGAGATTGAGGCTCATTTCTATGCATTCTATGATTTTAATAAGCCTCAGGAGGAGATGAGCACTCAGAATTACAAGAATATATCCGAACAGTGTATCGGCCCACTTTGACTCACCCAAGATTCCCTCAACAGAGAAATAGTGTCTTTAAAAGAAGGCGAGGTTCAATACAACGAAGAACTATCTAAGCAGAACGAAGAGATTAAACTAGCACTACTGGAAAGGATCAATCAGCGACAGAAACGAATCTTTGGTTGAGACCTCTCCCAAACTCTTTATAAAAGATCTACTGAGACTGTAGAAGAAATCAACGAAAGAGAAGCACCAATAGATGAAGAGGAATTCTACTCAGAATTCAACAGCCTCATTGGTTACAACAAGAAGCGAGGATCCTTTGATGTCGAGTTCGACGAAGAAGTCGAGTATTATATCTCAGAGATGGACTTCAGCCTGCTTCTTAATAAAAAGAAGAAAAACGATGATATAAATATCTTGAAGCTTACAATGAGAGACTAGATGAAAGAGAGAGAAGAACCAAGTTCATTCTTGACAACGGGCTTAATAATATACAGACTTTAAGGAAAGAAATTGAAGGATACAATGAAACAGAACTCGAGATTGTTCACAAGTTAAATCCACTCAGACCGTTCTTACAGAAGGAAGAATTTGAAGACATCAAAGAAGGATACCTTGAAGAAGCCAACCTCGCTCACCGAATTGAACAGCTAAAAATTCTAAGAAACGAAGGCTTTGAAACTATTCAAGAGGTAGAACAAGCACTCAAAAGTATGCAGAAATAACTCATTTTTCATATAATTTATTAATTTTCCAACGATTTTTGGGGTTTTGGGGTTTTGGGGTTTTGGGGTTTTGGGGTTTTGGGGTTTTGGGG